TGTGTGTGTGTGTGTGTGTGTGTGTGTGTGTGTGTGTGTGCGTAGTAAAAAAAAATTATATAAAATAATATTTCGTGATTCAACAACACAGTTGTATAAACTTGGCTGACACCCAAAATCCCCTACTCTATTTTTACCATATGCTGGATTAACACAAATTCAGCACTCTGGACAGCTGCCCTTTCACTGGCAAATCCGCTGAGCGGCTCATCAATGAACTCAGTGACTCCTCTATGTTTTTACTGTGATCTTCACAGTCAAAACAAACTGATTGCAGTCCGTATGTAATGTAACTTTTAGACTGATGTACGCTTCTTTCATTAAAGTTGAGAATGTTGATTAGAATCACATTAGTTGTACTATTTTGAGCAGGAGCGCTTGTAGAATTTTTTTAAAAGGGTCAAAGCCCTAAATTTCCATCTGCAAAGTGCTATATTTGAGACAGCTGTGGCTAAGTGGTTAGAGCAGTTGTCCTTCAATGGGACAGTTAAGGGTTCAACTCCACCAGCACATGTTGAGGTGTCCCTGAGCAAGACTCCGATGTGTATCCTATCCTGTATGAATGTGCTCTAAAAGCACTGATTAGTCTCTATAAAATGATTTGTTAGATTATCTTTGTAGAGATGTTGTAGAGTGCTGTATGAATGTGTGTGCAGGTAAATGAGGGCACAGATTGTGTTGTAACGTGCTTTGATGGTCTTGATTAGATAGAAAGGTACTATATAAGTACAGTCTATTTAAAATGCAGGATTTTAGGAGCGTAGACAATTTTTATCAAATATTTTCTAATTTTATCATATTGTCTGTATTTCAGAGTCATAGTGTCAATCAAATTAAAGCCAATCTGCAAGCCACTTCTCTTCTAGAACTAGTCCATTTTCCTACATTGTGTTTTGTATAAGAAATGTTATATATAAAAGCATGACTTGATTGTAAATGTAACATTGTACAAAAACTGGCCTATCACAGATAAAAAGGGTAGTATGTTTTATATCAATTATAGAAATACACACTTTGAGATTATTACTGTCAAGATATTATGCAATTGTCCCATTCTTCCCAAAAATGACTTTCCTTTTCTTTAGGCTCTGTCTCACGACCATGGACGCCCCCTCTCCAACTCCTCAAAGAGCCTTGCAGCAGTAGTGGCTCGTCTGGAGAGAAATGCAGCTAACTCTTGTATGGAGGGCGAAGAGGACTTGGATGAGGACCGGTTGGCTGAGGAGGGAGAGGATGCAGATGATGAAGATGAAGATATGGAAGCAGTGCATCGGCGATGTCATCATCAGCAGCAACAGCAACATTTGGAAATGGACACAAATTGTGTGCCGGAGGTAGCCACTGCTGTCGTTCCAAGAGTTTTGTATGAGGAGCTGGTTCACAGCTACAGGCAGCAGGAGGAGGAGATGAGGAGACTGCAGCAGGAGCTGGAGAGAACACGCAAACAGCTGGTGCAGCAGGCAAAGAAGCTGAAAGAATATGGCAGTTTGCTGACAGAAGTCAAAGAACTGCGGGACTTCAACAGGAGGCTGCAAGACGTACTTCTCATTAGACTGGGCAGCGGTAAGGGACCAGAAACATGCACACACAAAAAAACAATATATATTTTTAAACCTTTAATATTAACTTAAAAAATGTTACAGAAAATGTTCATTTACATCAAATATTGATAGATCAATGATGAATTTGCAGTTCTATTTGCACTACGAAAAATCCTATGGATTGGCCACTTCAATATGTCTTGTGTACAGTGCCTTGCGAAAGTATTCGGCCCCCTTGAACTTTTCAACCTTTTGCCACATTTCAGGCTTCAAACATAAAGATATAAAGTTTTAATTTTTTGTGAAAAATCAACAACGAGTGGATCATGAAGTGGAATGAAATTTATTGGATGTGTCCAACTTTTTTAACAAATGAAAAACTGAAAAGTGGGGCGTGCAATTCTATTCGGCCCCTTTTCTTTCAGTGCAGCAAACTCACTCCAGAAGTTCAGTGAGGATCTATGAATGATCCAATGTTGTCCCAAATGACTGATGATGATAAATAGAATCCACCTGTGTGTAATCAAGTCTCCGTATAAATGCACCTGCTCTGTGATAGTCTCAGGGTTCTGTTCAAAGCGCAGAGAGCATCATGAAGACCAAGGAACACACCAGGCAGGTTCGAGATACTGTTGTGAAGTTTAAAGCTGGATTTGGATACAAAAAGATTTCCCAAGCTTTAAACATCCCAAGGAGCACTGTGCAAGCAATCATATTGAAATGGAAGGAGTATCAGACCACTGCAAATCTACCAAGACCCGGCCGTCCCTCTAAACTTTCATCTCGAACAAGAAGAAGACTGATCAGAGATGCAGCCAAGAGGCCTATGATCACTCTGGATGAACTGCAGAGATCTACAGCTGAGGTGGGAGAGTCTGTGCATAGGACAACAATCAGTTGTACACTGCACAAATCTGGCCTTTATGGAAGAGTGGCAAGAAGAAAGCCATTTCTCAAAGATATCCATAAAAAGTGTCGTTTAAAGTTTGTCACAAGCACCTGGGAGACACACCAAACATGTGGAAGAAGGTGCTCTGGTCACATGAAACCAAAATCAAACTGTTTGGCCACAATGCAAAACGATATGTTTGGCGTAAAAGCAACACAGCTCATCACCCTGAACACAGCATCCCCACTGTCAAACATGGTGGTGGCAGCATCATGGTTTGGGCCTGCTTTTCGTCACAGGGAAGATGGTCAGAATTGATGGGAAGATGGATGGCGCCAAATACAGGACCATTCTGGAAGAAAACCTGTTTGAGTCTGCAAGAGACATGAGACTGGGACAGAGATTTATCTTCCAACAAGACAATGATCCAAAACATAAAGCCAAATCTACAATGGAATGGTTCACAGATAAACATATCCAGGTGTTGGAATGGCCAAGTCAAAGTCCAGACCTGAATCCAATCGAGAATCTGTGGAAAGAGCTGAAGACGGCTGTTCACAAACGCTCTCCATCCAACCTCACTGAGCTCGAGCTGTTTTGCAAAGAAGAATGGGCAAGAATTTCAGTCGCTCTACGTGTAAAACTGATAGAGACAAACCCCAAGAGACTTGCAGCTGCAACTGCAGCAAAAGGCGGAGCTACAAAGTATTAACACAAGGGGGCCGAATAATATTGCACGCCCCACTTTTCAGTTTTTTATTTGTTAAAAAAGTTTGACACATCCAATAAATTTCATTCCACTTCACGATTGTGTCCCACTTGTTGTTGATTCTTCACAAAAAAATAAAAATTTTATATCTTTATGTTTGAAGCCTGAAATGTGGCAAAAGGTTGAAAAGTTCAAGGGGGCCGAATACGTTCGCAAGGCGCTGTATGTTTAGTACAAAGAAAATTGGGTAAAAGGAGAAAATGTGCTTGTTATTTAGGTAAGAAATAAAAAATAGGAAGAAAATCTCATTTTTGTCTACACGTACATTTTGATTTTAATATTTAAAAAAGAGTGAATGTTGAATTTCCAAGCATTATTTCTCCTCAGACCAGTTCGTATTCTCTAGCAGTTCTACTTTTTAATGCAAACAGCCAGTCTGATAAAGGCATGTATGCTGCACATACTGTCTGTTCAAACACAAACTTTGCTCTGCCAGGACAGAGTCACAGAAGTCTGTGAGTAATCACCATAAACTTGGGGAGCTGGTAAGGTTTTGCCACAGGCACCCATGTGAACTCTTATTGACACAGTGTAAACTGGCCATTATAAAGTAACTCATTAGCAGTCGAAGTTGTACTTTCAAAAACTTACATTTCAAAGAAAAGTAACTGGAATGTCTTTTCTTTTTTGTTTCAGACGTATACCTATACAAAATAACTCACTATTTCCTACCCCCAGATACCCCCACACACTCCTTTCATTCTTGCAAATGTGACATACACTTGAAAAACACCAAATGTTTGGTTTTACCAGTAGATATAAATTTTCTGTAATTGTCAAAAAACAAATTGGAAATAAAATTTCCAATGGTACATTTTTAAAATCATTGAAACCAAGTGAATAACTCCCTCAAATGTTTCCCTTTAACTTAATAGAAATGGAATGGTAAATGGATTGTACTTGTATATCACCTTTCTATCTAATCAAGATACTCAAAGCTCTTTACAACACAATCAGTGCCCTCATTTACCTCCACACACCCATTCATACTGCACTCTACATCTCTACAACAGCTAATCTAACAAATCATTGTAAAGAGAGCAATAAGTGCTTTAGATCAGACAAACACCAGAGGCAACAAGGAGTTCAGTCTTGCCCACTAACACTTCAACATGTGGCTGTTGGTGGAATCTAACCCCCAACTCTCCCATTGGAGGACAACTGCCTTAACCACTCAGCCACAGCTGTCCCAAATATAGCATTTTGCAGATGGCACACTGATATATTGTTTAATCTTTTTTATTGCATTTTATTTTAATTTGATAGTTTGAGACGTTTGTCACTGCCAATATGCTAAATGTGTTGTTTTTAAAGTTTTATTAGTGTTTCGTAAAATGATCTTAGTGAGACATTTCTAAATCCAACCAACAATTTAAAAATATATTTCGAATTCAAAAGTACAATAGAGTTGTTTTACTCATGAACTAAAGTAAGTTATTTTTAAAGTTCCATCCAACAAACATTTAGTGAGCGCTACAATGATGGTTCTTTAGCAACCTAACATCTAAATGAGGCTTTGGAGAAACTAATGATGTTTCATTGCTGTATATGCAACATCTACCATTTTGAAAAGTTGAATATACAGTATTATGTTCTATACACATTGGCCCAGTCATATTTTTACCCGATTGATCCATTTAAATATGATATAAATACAGTAACTGATATAAATACACAGGTTGTGTCATGTTATGTGCTTTTACAAAGTTAAGCGTTGTCAGATGCTAATGTGAAGATCAGGCATCCTGTTGATCAAAACCAGCAACATCTACCTGCTGGCTTGACCGTGTAATGGACAAACTAAATATTAGAACACCCTGGGAATCCTGGGAGTTTGGCAGGAAATGTGTTGAGCAACATTAAAACTGATCAGCTGCATTGGAGCTTAGCATGGCCAGCTAGCAAGCCACCTTAGTTACTGGGCTAAAATAATCGGTCTCAGGCTAAGAGGAAGCCCAGGTGTAGCGCATGAAGTAAAAAATGTATGCAGTTTTATGGTTTGAGTAAAGGTTCTGAAATAAGATTTCTATTGATTTATATGTTGTTGAGTAACTGGGTATTTTAGTTTATAAAAACTGAGCATCAGTTATAACCAGCTCAGCTGATGTCAAAGGTCCACTTGTTGCTGAAACATACACTCGTTGGCCACTTTATTTGTACACCTTGCTTTTATTAGATTGAACCCCATCTTCAGAAGTGCCTTAATTCATTGTGGCATAGGTTCAACACAATGCTGGAAACTTTCCTCAGAGATTCTGGTACATATTAGCACAGTCTGCAGTTTTGTCTGCTACACATCCATGATGTTAGTCTCCTGTTCCACCACATCCTGTGCTTGTTTGGATTAAGATCTGAAAACTGGAAGCAGTTCGAGTCCAGTGAATCCAGACCCATCTGACTAGGCAGCATTTTTTTTTTCTTTCATTTATTGTCCAATTTTAATGAACCTGTGAGAAATTTACCCTCAGTTTCCTCCTCTTAACTGTCTGGAGTGACATGTAATCCATCTGCTTCATGTTGTGCGTTGAGCGACATCATTCTGCACACTTTAGTTGGAACAAATGATATAAGCTACTGTTGCCTTTCTGTCATATTGAACCATTCTCAGCTGGCCTCTAACATGAACCAGACTTTTTGGGCCACACAAATGCCACTCACTGGATACTTTCTCGTTTGCCTCTTTAAACCCTGAAGATGGTTGTGCATAAAAATCCAGCCTATCCAAGTCCCTTAAATCCCCTTTCTTCCTCATTCTGATGCTGAATTTGAACTTCAGCAACTACATGTCTAAATGCATTGAGATGCTGCCATGTGATTGGCTGTGTAGCTTTTGTGTTAACAAGCAATTGAACAAGTGTACCTAATAAAGTGATCAGTGAATGCTTATCTCATTGTTAAACGTTTTATTTTCTAGAGCCTATGCATGACAATGGCACTCAGACAATCAAGGCTGAAGTTGTTGAACCAATTGTTGAGACCCCAGAAACCTGCAGAGAAGAAGCCAACACAAGTTCAAGCTATTCACCCTCACCTAGAACAGTGTACACCTGCAACGACGGAAAGGTAAGACTAACTAGACTAAAAAGCAATTATTCACTCTTGCTGGCCTATATCACCTTATCAGCTGTTTTTAGTTTTCTCTTTGTGTCCTAGATGAACATGTTCTTTATTGAACTATTGTCATCTCGTGGGGTGTTACTTTGTTTTAGGGGTGCACCGTTTTATTGGCCCCGATTGCCTTAATTTTGGTGATCAGAGATCGGCCGATACTTACATGAGAAACCGATTTTACCAATTTTTTTAATAGTTTTAACAATTGTCTAAACTTAATTTATATTTCAGAGCACTACCTCATGGCCATTTAAAACAAGTTTGTATTGTTTCTAGGATATTGTTCGAGGGCATGTTTTTCAATAGAATAAGATTGGAAAATTGAAGGTGCATTGTGACCTTATAACACCTGACAGTGTCGCTTATAAAACAAAATCGGTGTCGGACAAAACTGGAATTGGCAGGTCAGACTTTTTTTAGAGATCAGTGATCAACCAGAAAACTGCAATCGGTGCACCCCTACTTTGTTTATTTAAAGATTTGTTGGTAGTGTGAAAGGTTCTGTTGGCAGTAACACAAGCCTTTAATTCCAGTTATGACTTTTGTTCAACATCTCTGTTTTTAATGTTTAACTGTACCTCTGTTTAAATGCTACCATAGAAAAGATCAGTAAGAGTAACCTTAATAACCTTACAACTATGTATTCCTGATAGTTTGTTTTTGACCGTATAACGTAGCGTGATTTTTGTAGGAAATGTTGCGTTCCCTGCTAACAACCATAACGACAGGAACATGCTGTCGTAGGTGATCAGTCCCTTCCTCTCTGCTTCTCTGTCCTACCAAGTAAACAAGGTTGAGAAGATTATTATTGTTTCTGCAAGCCCGGCCAGCGTCATCAGTGTTTATTAGCCTGTTAGGGTTCTTGACTTTCCTCAGTGCTGTAACTCAACCAGCGTCTTGTCTCTGATGACAGTGGGGGAATTGGTACTACAAGCTTTGGGGCCTGCAGCCACTTCAAGCGTGAAGAACACTTGCAAATTAGAACGCTCCTACATCAGGGAACCCATATTAATTATTTGCACGAGAGGAATTTAAAGTGACTGACAGGTTAGCCCTAGTGAGAGTGCAAAAGAGGGTTAGAAAAGGAGAATGGAAGATAAGAGAAGTAGATAAATGAGACCAAAGACTTGCATGGACGAAAACAGTCTCGTCTAACTTGAGGGCAGTAAAAAGCTTGTCTGCTGGCCTGCAGCCGAAAGCACATTAGTTGCACAGGGAAAAGCTTTTGGAAGCTAGCCTAAAGACTTTACAGTGATAAGAGAATAAGAGAAGGGAAAGAGTCACTTATGTCTCCTGATGCATTTGCTCATCTCAGACCAGGTCAATCTGCCTGACCTGTCAAACAGCTTTGTGTTTTGTTTATGCAGTGTGAACTGACATCTTTCAAAGTAGGGATGCACCAATCCACTTATTGGTTTTTTTTTTTTTTTTTTACTTCCGATCTGATCTCGATACCTTAATCTAAATATCGTCCGATACGATCCAGTTCCGATATCATCATCATCATTGATTTTATATGAGGCTGTAATAATCTCCTCAAGTACAATTTGTACAAATATATGCATGCATGTCCAAAAAGGCAACTTGAGGTACTTTTTATTAATGTTGAATAAGTTTTAAAGTTAGAATTAAATTCTGCTAACACAAAACATGTTTGTTTTTTTATTCCTAGTTTTAAAGTGGATATTAAAGTGATTAATTTAAGTGATTGTTTTAAAGTTATTTTATATTTTTTTTAAATAAGGGGCAGATATAAGAATTTTTTTCTTCTTTCTGCACTCTTTTCATTCAATATTTTCTTTTTGATGAATTTGTTTTGTTTATTTTGTTTCTTTTAAATGAATGAATGAATAAATAAAATAAAATGTTAAATGGCTTAAAACATCTGATAAGTTCATGACATAAACCAACAGACATGTTCCTGTTTTTAGTGTTTTACATCACTTTATAATGTAGCTGGTTTTGTTTCGTTTTATATATAATTTTCAAATCATGTTTTTTTATTATTATTTTTTTTTTTTATGATTGTCTACTGTTGTACTGACAAATATCTCCTGGAGGGTAAACTATATCTTGGCTGCAAGTATCAAGCTGAGAAATCCTTCGTTTTCTACAACTGATAGTGGTTAGTTATTAATTATGATGAAGTTTAGCAACTTCTCGGTAAACATTCAAGCTCCGGGGCTTCAGCGATGTCTTCTTCTTGTTTAATCCGAAGCATGCAGCCTGATTTCGTGAGCCATGCTCAGTCTGTCCCTCCTCAGAGACGGGCAGACTGGACGCAGCTGGTCGGGGTCGAGTCGCCTGTTTCGGATTGAGCAAAAGTAGCGCCACGCTGAAGCCACGGAGCTCGAATGTCCAACGTAAAACTAACTTTACAGCGGTTTAATGTGGTGTTGTGGCTCTGCAGACATTGCACGTTACTGTCTTGTTTTGTGGTGTTTCTAGTGTAAAATATTTCCACACAGAGGACATGTTTCAATGAAAAGTTTGTTAGCTGTTAGCCACAGTGCTGCTAACTCAGTCCTCACATTGTAGCTGGCTGCAAACTATGAACTGGATTTCCTGAATGTGAGGCGGGTCTTATTTCTCTGGGCTCATGAGACACACCGCCGTTCAGGAAATCCATTCCATAGTTTGAAGCCAAAATGCATCATGGATCGGAAATCTCTGCAGGTTGGATCGGAAAAATCTGATATGTAAATTATGCTGGTATCGGAGGCCGATACCGGATCGGTTAGCAGAAGAGGAACAACGTAGTTGTCAAAAGCCTAGAGGGCCCGCTTGCAGCTGCAAATGGTAATATTTACTTTTTGGTTCATGTCATTATGAATGAACATTTAATGCATCAGTCAAAAATGTGGTATCAACTTTATATAATCTTGAACTGTTTTGTTTATTGTGTTGAGGCCCTATGCCTAAAAAATTTAGGAGAAAATTTAAATCAGGCTGTAGATTTTTCTTTTACATTTTGAAGACATTTAGTTTTGAACATTGTTGGTGTTAAATTAAATCTTTATTTATTTTTCCTGATTTGATGTGTAAACTGTCAATGTGTTAATGTTCCAGTTTTGGCCATTTATGATATTTCTTCCTTTCTTTTTAACTAGTGATTGTATAAATATGTGCACAAAATGAAACGTGACCGGGTCATGTTTTCTTTGACAAACTCTGAGGTGACAACAATAAAGTCATGTTGTTGATTTTTAGATTTTCATCAGAATAATAAGTTGATAGTGTTTGAGCATGACAGTATCTGAGTTGAGACCAAAGTTTCGATATCATCTGAAACTCTGCTGTCTAAGATCCTTCAGGGCTGATAGCGCTGTGGGGGATTAGCTTTGCTCTAAGAGTTACAAATGGCTGTTGGGCCAACAAGAGAGCAGCACACTTATCATTAGCGCTTTACTGGACCATCTTGTTGAAAGCTGCAGTTAGGATTAGATGGTATCCATTTTTTGATACAGTTAAACCTTCTTCAAATTATATACTGGTACACTGTATTAAACTGTAAATATACTGTACAATGGAAATTATATTACATGTAACACAGTCGTATTACTGCATATAAATTTAGGGCTTTTAGGTCATCTAAAAGATTATAGAAAGTCTTGAGTCAGAGAGGTTTTATTGTCATTTCAAGCTACGTACAAGTACATATTGAAATGAAACTGCGTTCCTCCAGGATCACGGTGCAACACAGAACAAAATGCAAAAACAACACAACACAGTGCAGATACACAACAGAACAATAAATATAAACAGACCTATAATACATGCAAAAAGACATCTAACCTAATCTTAACATTTCAGTCTAAACAAGTAATAAGAGACTAGACTAGAGATACTTGTTGATTAGTACATGAGGTAGAAACATGTTCTGGTATGTGGTTAGCAGTGTAAAGTTTTTCCATTTTTATTGCAACAGTGATAAAACTTGAGCAGATTGCAAACACGTGCAAGTAAAATAAAAAAGTAACAAACAGTACAACACAGTACAACATGAACCTTAAGTTCTTAGTTTTGGGGTGCAACACAAAGTATTTCATTACTTTTGCGTCACAGAACAAAGTACTTTTAACATTAAACAAATAGAAGCTAAAGCAAAAGTAAAAAAGATTTCTGACCTTACACAATAAAGTTTTTTGCTTTTAAAAAAAAATATTCCTGCTGGCATAAAAATCTTGTGCGGTTTGATCAAGGGACACATTTGGCTTCCAAGTCCTTTCTCTGGTGCCAGTTAAAAATGTATTTGTTGCACACAGAGGGAGAGTGGACGTTATAGACTGCCACCAGAGGGATGAGTCTTCACCTTTCTAGATCACGTTTCCTTCAGCAGCTAGTCAGCTCTGCTTCTGCTTGTTCTTGCATCATGTGACATTTGGCATTCCCTGCATCAGAAAGAGATTGACTGATTGATTGACTAGGTAATAGATTAATGGATAGCTTGTACAGCTTTCTTTTCAGCCTATGCTTCAACGGCTGCAGTACAATCGTGAAATGCGATGGTGACAAATGTGTAATGACATTTTCTTGTTTTGAGTCATTTTAGTTATGTAAATTACAATAGTTTTGTCATTACTGCAACCATTTCTGAGCAGTTTTTGGGTGTTTAATTAAACTGAATGATGACACTGAAAGAAAGCCTTTTAGAAGTACTTTGTTGTTTTTAATTATCTGTTGTTTCTGTAGAACAGTAATGACAGGCACACATTTAAATTTTTTAATGACTGTGTTCATAACTTTTTTTGTTTTGTAGTAATATATGCATACCAACACTCCTACACATTTCTAAACAATCGTACTATTTGATCTGTTGAAGCCAGTTGCAGATATGCTGAGTTAGCCATTTTTTCATCATTACTCAACAGAAATTGGATTAATGATTACAGGAGGGACTAAATCAGTAACTAGGATGGTAATAGCAAGGCGTAGTTGACTCTGTGCTGGTGGCGACACAAAAACTAACCACTCTTGAGTAGTGCGTTTTACACTCCTTTCACATGTGTTGTGTCTGCAGGTACATCTTGGTGGTGGGATCTGGGTAGAAGAAGAGAAGTGGCACCAGCTGCAGAGGACCCAGGGAGACTCCAAGTTCACAAAGAACCTTGCTGTAATGATCTGGGGCACTGAAACTCTTAAAAATCGCAGTGTCACAGGAGTTGCAACAAAAAAGAAGAAAGATGCTCTGCCCAAACCACCACTGTCACCCAGCAAGCTGAAAATTGTCAGAGGTAAGATACACTTTATATACAATAGGTTTTAAAATCAAAAGGCAAATGCTATATTTTTTTTTTTTATCAGAAGAAATTTTGAAAGTTTAGTTAAATTTCAAATTGATTTTATTTATCACTTCCATTCATAAAATACACCCATAGCCATCAGAGAAAAGATGAGCTGTTTATAATCTGATGTAGACTGACTACCCCCACCCACTCCCTCCACAGAGTGTCTCTACGACAGAGTGTCTCAAGAGACCGCTGACAGCGCCGAGATTACACAGAGATTGTCCAAAGTGAACAAATACATTTGTGAAAAAATTATGGATATCAACAAGTCCATCAAGAACGAAGAGCGGCGGGAGTCCAAGCTTCTCATCAGACAGACGGTCAAGATGGAGAACTTCACTTACGATGGCATATAGTGATTAGCAGTCATGTCAGCGCCTTCTGCCCCACGTGGTCTGCAGGATTATGAGGGGACTTGGTATGGGTGGTGGAGAAACACCATCAGTGTTTCCGGAGTGGTCATAATTCATTCACTCATTCCATTGATTCTTCTGTGAAATGTTTAAGCAAGTAGGTCCCATGTAACCTCCCTAAAATGCAAGCACCGCATTTTTCAGTTATTTGATTTGGTGCCAGACAGCTTTACCCACCGGTTAGAAGTTAAACGCATTAAAGAGTTCGATTGGAGCAGGAGTTAGTGTTTTTTTTATGAGCTTTACCATGGTACAGAGATGTGGTTTATTAAGATGTGTTCACAAGTGTCAAAAGAGAAATTAGATGTTATTAATTTATCGTTCTGTGTCAGAACATCCTTTTGAGTCCTTGAACTTTTAAAAAGTAAGAGGTTATTTCAGTCGTTTTAAGTGTTCTGATGCTATGAAACATGATGATGATGGCTTATGTTGGTTCTTAGACGTGGGGACTATCTGGTAACCGTTGGGATTTTGAATGTTGGTACTTAATGTATAGAACGAGACGCCAGAGTCTCACTGCACAAGTCTTAATTAATAACAGCCATATGTCATTTTGCTCCAAGAGATTAATTTTTGAATGTGTGCCGTTCCTTAACGTATTTAACACATCTGTTCATAAAGGAGAGAGATTTATTGAAAGGTATGACTTCTGTTTTGAGGGAAGATTGCAATGCTTGTTTTATTTTTATCTTTTGGGTAATTGTATTTGTCATCGATGTATGAGCACAAGAAAGGTTTTAGTGAAATACTTGTGTTACTATTTAAATTGTCTGAGAAAACTTGACCATAGAGTTTTAGTGGTACAGGTATTTTGATACCTAGAAAGGCCTTAATCAGATTTGGCAATCACCAGGGATTGATACCCCCCCTGGGTTTTCTAGTAAGCTGTGATTGTAAAGGTATAGTAAGCTGACGTGATGATGCTTCACCTGCACTTTGTTTGTGAGAATGCGAGCGGTAGCCAGGTACTGTTTTATGTGTGGCTTGCACCATTAGGTTGAGATAAACTAGACTGGTGCCCAGGTTAAAATAGGGGTGCAGCTCTGCACACTCCAGGTCGACTTGTTGCAGAGACCGTGTCATGTGTGGGTAAAGCTGTCTGCCACGCTATATTTCTGTTGAGATTGTCTGGCCCTGCTGAACCCAATAATAACCCCAACATCTTTTAAGCTCACTGCTGGGAGAAAAGTAAGGTTGCTCCAGTGACATTTTCCTACAAGCCATGCCATCAGAACTTTTAAAAGGTTCTTTTTTTTTCCCCAGTATATTTTTTTTAAATATAGTTCTTTTTTTTTTGTTTTGTTCTATTGTTTTGATCTGAAATGGTTTGCGGGGCTATCTGCAGGCTGGAACTAAACGCTGCAGATTGAATTCTCAACTGTGACCTAGCTGTGGCTAACTGTGAATCTGCTGCAGAGCTGCCCATCAAGCCTTCTCCTCTTCACACTGTATTCCTGTGCATCTCGTCTTTTTCCTTTGCTTCCAGTCGTTTTGTTCGTCTTGGTTTTTGCTACATCAAAAGTTTATATCAGCCTTTTGTTAAGCTACTTGATGTTCTGGAGTAGTATACATTGTAAATGTTTTTACATATTTTTATTTTTTTCATTAAAAAAAATCCATAGTTATGCTACTGTTTAAGGTTCCTATCAAGTTTTTGTTTAGCTAAATGACATTGTAATTCTTGCCAGACTTATTTCCTTTTTCTGTTTAGTTCATTTGTTTTTTTGTTTTTTTTTTTATGTGTGTGAATTATTGGCTTTATGCCAGGTATTGTAAACAAATGTTGATTGGTGGAGTCCTCAACGCGAGAGAGAAGAAGCACCTCACTCTTAGCCAAAGTAACTTCAGTGGAACGAGAGAGGAAAGGATTTCCATAACAGGTTGTTTTTACAGAGCGTACACGTCACACTCGCAACAAGTGATACCTGATAAAACCTTACGTAGGATCTTTGTACTGAATGATTTGCCGTATCAAGGTGAAACTGTAATCATTGCCCAACAGAAATCAAGATGCAGTAATGATCAGCTCGAATCATTGAACGCACTTTAAAGTTCATTCTTTTTTTTTTTCTTTAAAGAAAATATATATGTGGTAATGGTGTATTTTTATGTTTTGAGAGACGACATCTTAAGTCGTTTTATTATAAAGCACCTTATTACATTTACTTTCAAGGCAGAATTGAATTGTTACATACAGTTTTTAATCATTCAAACATGCCCCCACATTTTATTATTCAATGGTAAATGGGAAAAAAAAATCTTTATAAACATAATTTTTGTTAAAACTTGAACAACTTTATCTTGACCTTATAAAAATAGCTTACTCTGTTGACTGACGAGCAACAAACAGTTCTTCAGTGCAAATCAGGACTAACCAGTTTGAAGAATTTACCTATGAAATGTACAAGCTGACTGGAAACTGTGCTTTAACTTAATACGTCTACATGCTGGCAATGTATAAATATGACCTACTATGAATTATGTATTATAAGCGAGTGGCAACTGTGAGAAGTAGGATGTGGACTGATGAATCAGCTGGCTTTGCACATAAATTGGTTCATGCCAAGGCAATGGAGCTTAGACTAATATAATAGTTATTGTTGGGGGTGTTTTCCCAGTATTTTTTATTTTTTTATTCCCCTGTACAAAGTGACATAAGGTTCATATGTACAAGGGTGTATTGAAAATACATGGGATTTAAAAGGAAAAGAAAAAAGCTTTCCGCTGAGAAAAGCAACCGTACTGAAATTCAGATTATGTACAATGTTGGCATTTCATTTCTTTTTTCTTTTTTTTTTTTATGCCAAAAGAGGGTGTGGTTATATCGATGCTTAAAGCATTTACGGAGCTATTACATAATCTAAAACTCGTTTTGAAAAGCTGATTTCCTGTGGCTCGATTCAGCCCGTTTCCTTATCTTAAACCATCTGCAGTGGATGAAAGCTGTAAAAAAGTACAGGATGGTTTTAACCCAGATTTGACTTGATGTGTGGCGCTGAAGCTGATCTACTTCAAATGTACGAAGTTACTAGCAGAGAAGACTTATTTGCAGCAATTTATTCATTCATAATACCCAACCTTTCATAACTTAACAAATTTGTTGGCTAATTTGGCATCATACCATCAGATATCAACAATTTGAAGTAGGAAACGCCAACTGGTCTGCTCTTTGATTCTCTCCATGTGCCACCTCTTGTTCTTTACAGTCCTAACTTTGACTAGGTTTATAAATGCACATGGATCAAGATCAAAACGAAATGTGCGATGGCTTGCTTTGCGAACAGCAGAGCTTCAAACGTAGAGGAGCTTTGTCTTACGTTTTGATGGGTCGCTTGGGCAGAAGCGTGATTGAGAAATTAACGTAGAGCGTCGCTCTGTGGAACGAGGCGGTTTCGTCTTGCAGTTTGCAGAGCTACATTGTAAACCAGACACATTACTGTTTGAGCCTCAGATACAATGTCAAACGTACTTCATAATGAAAAAATAAAAAAAAATTAGGCATATATTTTTATTAAAGGTATCAGTAACTTTGTATACAATCCACAAACTGATTCTACTTCATCTAACTTCACCGTCCTACCTCATTGTTACTCTGGTGTTTGTCAGTGACTGTAAACTATGTGTGTATATTAAAAAAAAATCTATAGGAAAAGTTATACCTGAATACTCTTAACATGTACAGCATATAAATCTTGTAAAACACCTCAATACATCTATATCATTCTTAGGAGAAATCAGTTTTATTACCTGCTTTAAAATGCTGCTGTGAAGGGGTTTCTGTGTGAGGGGTCGCCTCTGAAAATATATCTTTGCTCTTTGCTATGTTGTGCAGGTGATCGCTGGTCGTGTTCCGTCTCCGTATCGCATTTTGAGATTTTTACTGGTTGATGGTGCTACCAGCAAACAGTTTGAAAACTGATCTATCGGACCTCAAATGGTGCTGTTTTTCTATGTTTTTATCGTCATACAGCTGTGTTTTATTCAGGTGTGTCAACCGCCGCTATCCCCTCAGCTAATCAAATTAAAAGCCAAAATGTTTTGCAAGTCCGATAACGCTGCCGTGTGTATCAAATATATGCTATCCATCCAAATATTTATAGATAGTGATTATATCTCAAGCTTCATAAGTACCTCAGAAGATGATGATTTTAGGTGGATGCATCTGTTGTCCATCTGTTTCCATTGTTGTCTATTTTGAAAAATATGCATTTTTACCGGATAGATCGGGTTGCTTCATGTTTGGTATGTGGCTATGAATTCACAAATGATCATAAAATCGAAACGATACCACTGGTTTTCTTGTGCATGACACATCATCTTTTAGGAAATTAAGTTCACGCTGATGAGCGTGTTTCAGTAGCTGAGGCCCTTGACAAAACTCATTTCCTGTTGGGAGTCAAATTTCTTATTGTTTTGTTTTTAGATAAGGGAATAAAGTGGTAATCCAAATCTGTACTGGAAAACTGTACCCATGAGAAATGAGTGTGAGGGAAAAAAAAGTGTGAAGTATGAAATGTGTGAAAATATGGGGCTAACTCAGACTCTTTAAGGTACAGGTTGGGACAGCTGTGGTTTCTACTTGTTACCTGGGACATTTTGTTTGATATACAATATTTTCCAATATAATTTAAATTTTTCAATTTGCATCTCTGTCTTACGATTAGTGTAACTTCCAGTTCCATTTCTGTAAATTAACGTCTATATAAAAAGTGCATTACATGCTCTTTTACCCAGCTCTTTGACACTTGTACAATATTTTCTGCACCAAAGTGTTTCAGAGACATGGTTTATCTTTAGCTTTACATGCTTTGGTTTCCTAAATCCAACCATGTCATGCTAGCACCTCTCTACTGTGAGTTATGTGTTCAAAATCACATCGGCTTGTTTCATGGAAGCACTTAAGCCATTTTTCAGACTGTTGTATAAAACTTAGTTGTGAGAAATTGATCCAGAGAGTTTGTGTGTAGTTGAAATCCTATGCAGGTGTTGACTAACGTGTTACCACATCACTGTTGGGTAGAGGGACAAATACTGAGACGAAAAGCAGAAAGTAGACAAAAATGTCTGCACAGCCTTGAGACCGAGTCTAATGGAACTAGGCGATATGACAAATCCTCCAAGATACATTTTAAACTCTTAAGTTAAATTAAACTGAGCTTTATGGGGCTGCTTGGTATATAAACGCATCACAGTTACCATTAGGGAAAGACAGGGTTTTTACTTTCTGTTGTATTTCCTGATGGTATAATAATGTCAAAACAACTCGAGACATTTGCAGTAAACAACTCCTAACCCCGCTGTAACCTCCCAAGTGACACCCCTACATTTCCAGAAAACGTTCCAGGTGTACGAGATATCCAGTGTACATGTCTTTGCTAAACCAGCCACACCTCTGCTATGCGAACAAGTCTTTGACGCTTAGCATCCTGTTCTGTGTTTTCTCTTGCTGCATTCAGGAACACCTGTTTAATGTATAGGTAGACAAAAATAAATCAAGACTTTTATTCTATCAGCACAAACCTCTTGTCATTTTTGTGTCATTTTCTGATTAAAAAAAAATATATATTTAACTTGTTAAAACAGATTTTGGACAGAAGTTCCTACAGTCAAAGTAAACAATTTAGTTTTTCTTTTATCATTTTGTGAAGGAAAAAGTGTCTCATTAAACTGTTTGTAGTCATTGTGCATACATTTGTGGGCTTCAAAGATGAACACTTCTTTATCA